TGTGTGTGTGTGTGCGTGCGTGCGTGCGTGCGTGCGTGTGTGTGTGTGTGTGTGTGTGTGTGTGTCTGTGTGTGGTCTGTGTGTGTTGTGTGTGTGTGTGTGTGTGTGTGTGTGTGTGTGTGTGTGTGTGTGTGTGTGTGTGTGTGTGTGTGTGTGTGTGTGTGTGTGTTTGTGTACACAGCTCAAATGGAAATTTTTGTGTATCCTACATTTCGTAAATTCACTGTCGAATCTTTCAATAAAACATTTTTTTTAAATAAAAAGAAGCATATCCGCACTCCCAACGCCATCTCGCTATATCTTTAAACGTCATTTGATAGATATTTCTTTGGCAACAGAAACTAGTGTTCAAGCAACTCCTATCGCCCTCTAAATAGTTATTTGATCTATTGTTTTTATTACAAATATAGTGTTGTACAAACATTCACACTTATATGTTAGGAGTTTTTTAAATGCTGCGAATGGTTTAGGCCCAAAATACATTTCTGACCTCCTGCTAAATGATTAACCATCCAGATCTCTCAGGTCTTCAGGGACTGGTCAGCTTTCTGTCCCCAGTCAGAACCAAACATGGTAAAGCAGCGTTCAGTTATTATGCTCCAAATATCTGGAACAAACTCCCAGAAACCTGCAGGTCCGCTGCAACTCTGACTACTTTTAAATCCAGGCTGAAGACTTTTCTTTTTGCCGCTGCTTTTAATTTAACTATTCATATCTTAAACTGCACTGTAACTTTTATCCATGTATTTTTTTCTTTTAACGTTTATTTTAAATGCCATTTTCTTAATGTCTTTCATTTTTTGTAAAGCACTTTGAATTTCTTGTGTTGAAAGGTGCTATATAAATAAAATTGCCTTGCCTTGTCTTGCCTATGACAGACATGAAAAAGTGGATTTTGCATAATAGGTGACCTTGAAGGTGAGCATCAATCTTAAAAAAAATCCATAATACCTGCTCTTCCCTGTGTGTTTGCAGGTGTTTGGGGGCTTGGTGTGGATCCTGGTGGCCTCCACCCTCATCACCCCCCCGAACCCCCTGGGCTGGGTGATGTTCGTCTCGGTGTTCTGCTTCGTCATGACCTTCCTCTGGATGGTCATCTTCGCTGTTGGAGGGCACAGGAACAGCTCGGGCTGGGCTGCTGCTGTAAGACACCAGAGAGAAAGGAACAGATCAGAGAGATGTAATGAAATGTGACAAAAGACATAGAGTTATTTAATTGATTTACTCCACGTGTGTCCAGGACTTTGCGTACCACGGCCTGGCAGCCTTCTTCTACCTCAGTGCCGGGGTGGACTTGGCGTACACGACCTTCCTGGTGAAATCACTCAACTCAAGAATCTACCACATCGACATCGCTGCTGTGGTGAGAACTGATTTAAGCTGTTTATTTTTATAACATTTACTGCTGCTTTTAAAGGAAAAGTTCAACATTTTGCTACATCATCATGAAAAAAATCTCTTATATCCGAGACTTAGCCTCAGAAATGTAGACATTAGCCCATGCTCTGTTTTAACTCTGTGTGTGTTTGTGTGTGTGTGTTAGGTGTTCGCCTTTGTAGCTACACTCCTCTACTTCATCCACACCATCCTCTCCTCCATCCGATGGAAAAACTTCTGAAAAGTAAATCACAGACATGCGTGTCCAAAAAAGTACTGTGTGTGTGTGTGTGTAGGGTTGTGTGGGGTGCCTATAGGGTTGTGTGTGTCTGTGGGGTGCCTATAGGGTTGTGTGTGTCTGTGTGGTGCCTATAGGGTTGTGTGTGTCTGTGGGGTGCCTATAGGGTTGTGTGTGTCTGTGGGGTGCCTATAGGGTTGTGTCTGTCTGTGGGGTGCCTATAGGGTTGTGTGTGTCTGGGGTGCCTATAGGGTTGTCTGTGTGGTGTCTATAGGGTTGTGTGTGTCTGTGTGGTGCCTATAGGGTTGTGTGTCTGTGGGGTGCCTATAGGGTTGTGTGTGTCTGTGGGGTGCCTATAGGGTTGTGTGTGTCTGTGGGGTGCCTATAGGGTTGTGTGTGTCTGTGGGGTGCCTATAGGGTTGTGTGTGTCTGTG